GGCGGGCCGCGCCCGGCCGCGGCCCGCCGCCTGAGCTGGAGTCCCGGAGTGCCCCCCAGGAACGCCTCGCCGAGCCCGCCGCCACCTCCCTGGGGGGGGGCCCATTTACCTCAGGGCTCTCCCTTGCCTGCGCCTCAGGGCCGGCAGAACGAGACGGCGATGGAAGCGGGCAGCCGCCGGGGGACGAGCCCACCCCCACCCCGCAGCTCCAGCCTCGCGTTTCTGGTGTCTCGGTGTGACATGCGAGGTGCCTCCCGGTCTGTCGGTGTCCCATCGCTCCTGCTAACGAGCGCAGTGCTCTAGGGGCCCGGGGGGGCGGGGAAGCAATGGAGACTTTTGGCTGTAATGGTGTCACTTTTGTTCCCCCCCTCCCCCACCCTGGGTTAGTTAAAACCCAAAAAAGGCACTACGCTTTAACGCCCCGCAAGTGCACAGTCAAGTATGATTTGTGTGGCTACAGTGCTTTCACCCTCTTACTTCCCTCAAATAACTCACCCTGTTTGTGGGATTGTTTTGGGGTTTTCTTCCTCTAAAAATCCCCAAGAACTCTAGTTATCTCAACTCCCAAAACTCTTTAACACTCCCGTTTGCAGAGAAAAAAAAAAAAAAAAATCCCCTCTAAGTGCTACAGACACACCACGCAACCGTACTTACGGTCTGTATTGGATCGAGTTGACCTTTTCCTTCTAACTGCATTGAGTGTGTTTTTGTTGCAGCCGCTTTTTATTTTAGGAAAAAAAAAAAAAATCTAATCTCGCACCACCCCGCCCCCCCCAGGCATTGTACACTCACACGTTCCGCACTCAGGCGCACACGACGCACACGCACGCAGCCCCTCGCTCTGCAGCCCGCAGCCTACACCGAGCCTCCTTGCTGCAGCCAGATACAAAATCGTGTTTCCCATTTCAATTATCCTACATAACATTTAAAGCTGAGGGAGAGGAAAAGAAATGAGGGGAGGGGGAAAAAAAAAAAAAGGGGGGAGGGGGGGGAGGTCTAATGTCTTCAACAGATTTATTGTGTTTGGAGGAAGAGACCACCAGATATCATGAACCTTCCTTTCTTTCTAGAAACAAAATTAAAACAACAACGACAAAAAGGAAAAAAAAAAAAAAAAAAGAAAAATAAAAAGGAAACCAAAATAAAATAAAAAATAAGAACTGGGGAGAGAAGGCAAACGCGGCATGTGTGTCTGTCCCCTCACAGGCTGACGCACAGGGGACAGGGGCGCTGCCCCCACAGCAACGGCCGAGGCGGGGGAGTGGGAGCCTCGCTCCGCGCGGTACCTGAGAGGCACTTTTCTTTGTTCGCGATGCCCTTTCCCTGCCGGCCAATCAGCACCCAGCTTTTATGAAACCGGGCCCTGCCATTGGCCCGCCGCTCCTCCTGCCTGCCGGCGAGGGCGAGAGACACAAACACGCACCCGCTCACACCCCCGGCGCCCGCTCGCACTCGCGCCTTGCAGCCCGGCACACGCTGCAGCCCCGCACACACCCCCGCCCGACACCCGCACACGCTGCACCCCCGCACACGCTGCACCCCCCATAACATTTAAAGCTGAGGGAGAGGAAAAGAAATGAGGGGAGGGGGAAAAAAAAAAAAAGAGAGGAGGAGGAGGAGGGGAAAAAAATAGAAAACCAAGGTGGAGTGTAGCTCTGCCAAGACTCACACGTCGGGAGGAAGACTCCCTCATTTCTTTTTAATTTAATTTCAGGGCAGTTTTCGAAGCCATGATGAATGATTTTTCTGTGCCGGTTTCAAAGAGGCAATTTAGAATCTCAGTCATAATTTTTAAATGCCCCCTCATTCAAAATTATAACAGCTTGAAGCCAGCGAGAGAGGGTTGCTGATACACATGTGCGATTATTTTCGTGCTTAGTGGAGGAGAAAAGCAAACAGTGTCTGGAGGAAGGGGCTGAGGGGAGCTTCAGGGTAGGGCAGCACCCCCATCTCTGCTTGGGGGTCACCGAGGCGCTGCTCCGCTCTCCGATCAGCCCTCTTTCTTGCATTCACTTTTTCAGCTCCTCATGTATTTTATTACATATCCATTTTTACAATATGGCTTAAGTTAGATAGGTCGGATTTTACTCTTTCTTTCTTCCTTTTTTTTTTTTTTTTTTTTTTTTTTTTTTTTTTTTTTTTTTCCCTTCCTCTTTTTCGGAAGGAAGGGGAGCAGAAAATAACCCTTTTGTTTCCAGACTGCTGATTTACTGCCGCACGCACTGAAGTGTGAATGCCAGCGACCCTATAACTACCACGTGAACATCCTTTCACAGGAATTAGTAACACAAATCTTCCCTATCGGGCTTTGTGTAGCTCGAAAATATCCCCCTTAATCATTCCTTTTGTTTACGTTGGGAGCCATTATGCTACACCACTGCGTTAAATTGCGTTTAACCCTTCGCGGACGGCGGGGGTGGAATGGGGACGGCGGCGGCCGCCGCCCGCGGGCACTGGAGGATCGGGAGGTGGGGGCACTAGCCCCGCGGACACCCTGTTCCTTTTAATATCCTTAAGCACGATCTACTATTTTTGTGTGTGTGTGTGTGTGTCTTTTTCCTCGCTTTGACTTTTTTTCCCCCTTCCTTTTCCCCTTGATCTCGCTGGGACTGATCTCCCTGTGAAAATCGATACGGGATGTTTTTCTTGCCAAACGTACGCATCGCCCAAGTCAAGATTTCCGGCAAGAAGTCAAAGCGTGGCATTTACGATGTCCTGCACACCCATGACAGGGTGACAAAATACCTCTTTGGACTTCGTCCAGCTGAGCAAATCACGCGCGTCAGCGTCCCCGCGTTGCAGGCTTCCCAATAAAAGGGGCGATTAGTGGAGAGGTGCCAGAGGAGCAAAGCCCCCTCAGACCCGGCTTTGCAGAAGGTGAAACAAGACTAGTGGGGGTAAAAACCGCCCGTGGCGTGGCACTCGATCGCGCTATGGCCAGCAGGTCACAGCGACCAGGGGCCCCGGGAGAAAAGGCTGCCCTCCAGGTCCAAGAGCCCCTCACGCCGCGGGCATTGGGGTCACCAACACACGCTACCTTGGGAGGCCTTGAGACTGCTCCGTTTCTCCTGTGTAAAAATACTTACCTTTCAGGGGCTGATAATGAAGGGTTTATTAGCAGGGATATGTTCATTGTCAAGGAGGCCCTTGATCACATTAAATGTTTAAGCCATTAGAAAGGGGGGGAAGGAAGCAAAAAAAAAAAAAAAAAAAAAAAAAAAAAAACACGACAACAACAACAAAAAAAAAAAAAAAAAAACAAAAAAAAAACCAAACAAAAAACAAACAAAAAAAAACCACCCTCATGGCGTGTGTCCAGCACAAACAAGAAATGCTGAGGTGTGAACGATGAATACATCCCTGTCCCGCCCGGGTGTTGGGACAACGCAGGGATAATCGCGAGGAGGACCTGTGAGCGGCCACTTCCCAGCCGGTGTGGCAGCGGACACGGCTGGAGACGCTGCCACCCTCCCCCAGGGAGGGGACACTTGTGCCCAGCATGTGCAATTTGTTTAGGAGTGGGCATGCATAATGTTACGAGGTACCGAAAATCACAGTTTCTCCGGGGTAGCTCTTGAGTGATGTCATTCACTGGTTAGCAAAATTTAAAGATCGGCAACACCAAGCTTTTGGTCTACTTAGTCGTGGATCACTATTCCTGTTTCCTTACAGTATGTATTTTTCAGATTTAGGTAATGGCCCTGAATTTTTCAGTATCGACCTCTGTTTAGACACGTTTCACTTTGGGCTGCTTCTCGTCTGCAAAATTACAGTCATTTTCACATTATTATACAGTGAGTAGGAGACAGTTTGTATTTAGCACTGGGTGGGGGAAGGGGTATTATGGGAAGTGATCTGCTACGGTCAGCACATAATTTCAGCCCAAAGAAAATTGCTTCTGAATAGATGGTCTGTTAACTAGCCAAGGAACAGTCACTGGGAGAGATTACAAAAATGCCTCTGCTTTATCTGCCTTACACCATCATTTTAATTTTTGAAAGCAGCCATCAGTGGAAGAGCCAGCCACAGAGGGTTACTAACTACAGAGGCCAACTGATGGGTAAAGTATCCTTAAAAACCTCCTTAGATCACAAATTTCCGAGGGGAGCCTCCCCTCTCCCCCATTCCCCCGGCATCTGTGATGAGTCTAGAAGGAAGGAGCCTGCCCAGCGTACCGCATGGTTGCCGAAGCAGGGTTTTATTTATCCACTTCTGTGGCAGAAATTAGAGCAAGGCTGCTCGCCGGCCCGTGGGTGCATCTGCAGCGGCCGATTCCTCCATGAGTGCACGCAAAAGGACCAGTGAACTCACATTGTCCCGCCAGGTTGAGAATGTCGGTATTTCAAAAAGCGGCCCGGGCCCGCTGAGTGATTTCGTGGCTTTTCTGCCTTAATTTCTAACTGCTCTCCAAATTAGATTACAACTTTGTATTCCTGCGCATTTTACAAGACAGACAAAAGGCCAATAAATTAGCGATGTTTGTCTAAAATAGGAAACCCGTACTTAACTGATGCAGCTGCAGACCGCTAGTAATACCAAGAGATCACCATTCACCCGCCCTGGTCCCTGTCCGATTTTTTGTTTTGTTTTGTTGGGAGGGTTGTTTGGTTTTTGTCGGTTTTGGTTGTTTTTTTGTTTTTTTTTTTTTTAACCTTGCCAGACATATGCATCGCACACGCTAGGAAAATCACCGCCGAAGGTCTCTTTGTTTGGCGGAGGGCCCGCGAGGCCGCCCCCGCTGCCCCGGCCCGGCCGCAGCCCGCGTCTGCCGCGAGGAGAGGCTCCCGCCGCCCCTCCCGCGGCCGCGCGCTGCCCGCTCCCCCGAGCGCTGAGCGGCCGCCGCCCAATCAGCGCGCCAGAAATCGCTTTCGCGGCGCGCCATTGGCCGGCGGCGCGCGGG